AGGAATAACTCCATCATTCTGGAGCACCTGACTTTACCCCAGTTTTTTTAGTGAAGTCCGCAGTGTTTACAACATTTGTCTAGTAGGTGATATTTCATTTTATTTGTCCTGCTCTGACCTGCGATTTCATCTTTCCTCCTCCCTCCCCTCCTAGTGCTTTGTTTTGGTCTTAAAAGATTTTTTTAAGTTTTTGGACAGAAAAGCTGAATCATTTCAATCTTAGAAGTAAATAAATAATTCACAGCATCCAAAATAAAATAAAAAAAAAACACTTCACAGTATAGTTACTGTAAATTTTGAAATTTTTGCAGATTTGATTATTGCTATGGAAAGAGGTTTCATAAAAATATAAAGGAGAAGGTCCTGTAAGGGCTAGTTTTGGCCTAAAATTCGAAGTACATCTGATGAAAGAGTTTTTATATTTTTTAAACACTTAAATGTCTACTTCAGTCGATTCAGTTAAGTTTATGTAAAAGGTTTGAACTGATTTAGTCATGAAAGACGCTCAAATTCAAGCTTGAGTATGAAAATTCTATCAAATATGCCATTAAACGTCCCTTTTCAGATGGAAGTGGCCGCATTCGTGTTCAGTCTCAACCTTTATATTTGACATATATATATATGTTATGTATTATCATCAAATACAACATATATTTAAATATTAAGACTGAACACAAATGCGACCACTTCCATTTTAGACAAAAACCGTCTCAAAATTAGCACAAATTCTAAAATTGTGAAGATTTCAGTAATATTGCATGAATTTATTATGCTAGTTCCTGATGCATGTGCATTGTATTGTCAATAAAATGCTCCGCTGTGGCGCAGCTTGATACGACCGCAGAGGTCGAACCCTGAACAGTTGGGGCAAGTATGGACACAACATTCAAGCTTGATACAGCACTGAATTTGGATTGTAATTAAATATTTGACACAGCATAGGTTTCTGACACAGAATGAAAGTGGTCTAAGAACTTAAAAATTTTTAATTTACCTATTCAAACCATATCATTATTATTTGCTTTTATATATAAATCAGAAATAACCAATTTAAAATGTAAAATTTTAAAGAAAAAAAAATGAAAAGAAAATCCCCCCCCAAATTTTTTGAACCCCCTTATGATTCATCACCCCCAAACTCAATCCCAGCTTTCCCTTTGTGGTATGGTACCTTGCAGTACAATTTCAGAGAGGTCCATACACTTGAACACAAGTTATTGTTTGGAAACTAGAATAATGCTTGTTTTTTGGCCCCTTTTTGGCCCCAAATTCCTAAACGTTTAGGGCAATTACCCCCAAACTCAATCCCAGCTTTCCTTTTGTGATATGAAACCTTGCAGTACAATTTCATAAAGATCCATACACTTACACACAAGTTATTGTCCTGAAACTAGATAAATGCTTGCTTTTTTGCCCTTTTATGGCCTCTAATTACTAAAATTTTGAGGGAATTACCCCCAAAATCAATCCCAACCTTCCCTTTGTGGTATGATACTTTGCAGTACAATTTCAGAGAGATCCATACACTTGAACACAAGTTAATGTCTGGAAACTAGAAAAATGCTTATTTTTGGCCCCTTATTCCTAAACTTTTTGGGCAATTACCCCCAAACTCAATTCCAGCTTTCCCTTTGTGATATGGAACCTTGTAGTACAATTTCATAAAGATCCATACACTTACACACAAGTTATTGTCTGGAAACTAGAAAAATGCTTGTTTTTTGCCCCTTTTTAGCCCCTAATTCCTAAAATTTGGAGGCAATTACCCCCAAAATCATTCCCAGCATTCCCTTTGTGATATGGAACTTTGTGATACAACGTCAGAGAGATCCATACACTTACACACAAGTTATTGTCATGAAACTAGAAAAATGCTTGTTTTTGCCCCTTTTTGGCCCCTAATTCCTAAAATTTGCTGGCAATTACCCCCAAAATCAATCCCAGCATTCCCTTTGTGATATGGAACCTTGTGGTACAATGTCAGAGAGATCCATACACTTACACACAAGTTATGTCTGGAAGTTACAAAAATGCTTATTTTTGGCCCCTAATTCCTTAACTGTTGGTACCATAACCCCCAAAATCAATCCCCACCTTCCTTTTGTGGTATTGAACCTTATGGTAAAATTTCATTGAGATCCATTCACTTAAACTAAAGTTAGAGTGCGAAAACTAATGTGTCTTCGGACGACGACGCCGCCAACGTCATACCAATATACGACCACAAAATTTTTTTTGCGGTCGTATAAAAACAGCCGATATTTATGGTACAGAAGTATTCTACTTTCCAATAAATAGCTAAAAGTTTACATTTCAACAAATTTGTAAAAATGCTATAATTTGGGGCCAAAAAGGGGTCTTACAGGACCTACTCCTTTAAAAATCTCATTTAAAAAGTTTTTGTTGCATCATTTGAACACAGCGTTTCCTGAAATCTCAATAATTAATTTAGCTTTTTTGTCAATTAGTCATCAATCACAATAATAATTCATGCAACTATTTCTGAATTTACATGTGGAGCAGGATCTTCTTTCCCTTCCAGAGCACCTGGGATCACCCCCAGTTTTTGGTGGAGTTCATGTTGCTCAGTCTTTGGTTTTCTATGTTGTGTTTTGTGTACTGTTGTTTGTTCGTCTGTTTCTTTTTTTAGTTCATGTCGTTGTCAGTTTATTTTTGACTTATGAGTTTGAATGTCCCTTTGGTATCTTTCGCCTCCCTTTTATAGTTTTAATATAAGTACCATAAGCAAGTGATTTTCTCATTTTATCACAGAAGTTTTCAAGAGAAACATGCAGAAATAGATTTTTATAGCCCAATCCCTCCATTTATTTGACAGTCTTCTATAAGTCCTTGACTCCTTTATCAACATTACTCTGATATATTATATTAAAATTGATACTAAATTTATGATGTGGACCTTTGAACTTGACTCCTTGATCAACATTACTCTGATATATTATATTAAAATTGATACTAAATCTATGATGTTGACCTTTGAACTTGGCTCCTTGATCAATATTACTTAAACCTAATTCTATGATGTTAACTTTTGAACTTGATTCCTTGACAAACATTACTCATATATGTAATATAAAACCTCAAACCATGATTTAGACCTTTGAAATGAGCAATACTTATTAATTAAAAGGCTAGGAGATAGAAATCAGTTATAGCATATATCATCATGCTACTCAAAACCTTTCCCGAAGTTATTGATCAGAAATAAATGGATGGATGGGCAATCCTATTACTACCTTGATTATGATAAAACAGGGATATAAATATTATATTTCAACATATTATTAATTATATTTCAACATATTAATAAAGTACAAAGATGAAAAACCCCAGAAGATTGGATTTTTATTGAGAAGATATCACAGATTGTATCAGCAGTAACAACTAATGTCAACATTTAGATATAACATTAAAATTAGACAACCAGCCACTTATTAACTGTTGTTATTAACAACATATGCAAAAATACCAATGTTTTTTTACATTATCACATTAAATTATAGCTACAAATATATATTTATTTAAATGTTGGACGGATTAATACTATTATAACAGTATAAAAACTTACATAAATATATAAATAGGTTTAAATAAAATGTTCATACATATATGTATGGTTCTTATATCTTACAACATTAAAAATAAAAATTTTGCACCCCTCAGTGTTAAGTGTTCATTTGAATTAAATTGAACGTCAGTTTTTATTTTATTTTGGCAAAAAATTGTGTAAAAATGTAACAGATCTACTACCACACATGTACCTGTCCCAATTGACAGGTGAAATGTCAATCTATTTTCATATCGTAAAAGTGAATGTGTACAAATTTAAGCACATCTCAAACAGTGTAATAGTAAAAAGTATGGATGGAATTAAAAAAAATATGAATAATAAACAAATATGGAATGTACTGACAAACTAGAGGCTCAAAGGAACCTACATCACTCAACTAATATCTTTGTATAATGACAAACTCTGTATAATGAAAAAAACAACCCAGCATATTCAAACAAAGCTGAATTAGCCTGAATACATTTGATAGCAATTATCAGTGGACAGGATATTTTTTTCAGAATTGTTATATTATTGTTTTTCTTCAAATTTTTCAATTAGTAGTAATGATGGCACCCAAGTTCAATGCCCTCTGGAAGAAAAAAAAATTTAACTGCAGGTTCTTTTTTCAATGCAAATTTTTCCTACAATTCCACTTTGTGTATCAGGTCCATGTATATATATAGATTCTACCACTGCATCGAGTGTGATACAATATTTATCCACTCGAGACAGTTAAATTTTCAAATTTAAAACGCGAGGCTTGCCGAGCGTTTTAAATATTTAAAATTTAACTGTCGAGAGTGGATAAATATCGTATTACACGAGATTTGGTGGTAGAATCTGTTTCTCTAATGATTTTCAAACAATACGCAGGCAAACTTATTCCTTCTTTGCGACTGATCTGCAAAAAGATGTGTTCTTTCTATGTGACGTCATCAGGCATGGTCGCCTTTTTTCATGCCGTCACAATAGGAAATTCAGAGGAAAACAAGAAATTTCGACGTCATAATCGGATTTTAACCAATGAAGAACTGAGATCAAACGAACCACACGTTGATTAAATTTTTTTATACAATGGGTGCAGAAAGGGATAAAATGACGAAGAATTAGAGAAATATATATATATAACCATATGCAATATATATTGAATAAAAAAATATACAGGTTTCTTATCAGTACTTTATTAGTATGATATAATAAATACTACTTCCTGGTAAAAAAAACTGCCTTTGTGTATAATATATTAGATGTCTTGTTCTCACAAAATGTTTGCTTTCCTACTTGAAGATTTTAAAGATAATTTAAGCTAGGCCACTACTAAAATTTTCCACAAGTAACAATGGTTTATAATTTGCCAGAATTTTGGTTTAATCATCATATTTCCAGGCTATTTTATTTTTAGTTAAATACAGCACAAGCTTTCTTCACTGTTAAATATATTATTTCTATAAGATAAAATCATTTGAATGTCTCACAATAATGATAATAAATTACTTTCATATGAATATTTTTTCATTGAAGAAAAACAATAATATGCCCCAGCATCAGCAAGCAATGACAATGCCTAGTGTGTATGTGCAAATAAACAGTAACAATTGACCTTCACTTGTAAGTCCTGTATGTACATAAGTACATCATTGTATATACAGGAAATGTATAACATTTCCTTAATAGTCAATATGAAACATCAGGAAAATCTGCCTTTTAAACTTCATTCAAGAAAATCTTACATCTTTATTTTAATAAAATATTGGCCAGAGCAGTAAATAAATATCACAAAATGATGAAAATGTGAAAATAAAGCATGAATCTTTACCACATATTAAAAGACAACAACACATTTTTAAGAAAATTTTAACACCATACATGTCTACAATACTAGTGTAGTAATCTTAGATGTCTCATTTTGACATTCTGTATCTTATTCATTAAAGATAATATCTGACTGAGGACTCTGAGCTGAGGTATGATATGGAATAACATCATACAATACCAACATTACCAGTATGGTGAAGATAGCCCATACCAACAGACTGTCTCCTATTTATCGGAGGTAATATTTGACTGAGTTGGCTGTAAGCTGAGATTGCCGAACCACTAGACAAGGGTTTAGTCTGTACCGGGCTGTTCATGGCTGACCCAGGAGTTGTTAACCCCATGGTCGACTCCGTTAACATTCTCTGACGTAATGGATGGAATGGATTGGTCTTCACTTTCTTAGATATAGCTCTAACTAAGTCTCTGGCATGCTTTAGACTGAAGGCTGCAATAACAGAAAAATACAGATATAGGGAGTTTGATTCACAAAAGATTTTTTTCATTTTTTTGGCCATTTTTTTAATTTGTAATAAAACGTTCCAATCTTTTAGCTATTATTTGATTGAAAAGTTCAGGTAGATTACTGACCAAAATGATGTTGTGAAGAGATAATGTATGAAAAGACCATAGTTTATAATGCCCTTAAATTTGAAGATAAAAAAGTATTATAAATCTATCATCCATCATATGTTCACAAGAAATTAGTCTGACAGATATTATTGAAATTTGTCTTACATATTAACTGCAATCCTTTAAATTTCTTTTGTTACAAGAAAAAATACAAAAACAGCAAAAATAGTCTCATTTTTTAGGTCTTTTCATTAATATCTAGGGTTGTTCCAAAATTAAAGGCCCTTATCACATCTATCTTAAAACAAACATTGGTTTTATTACTTTGTTTCATTTTTATTTATTTGTGGACCTTTAGGCTGTCTAGTGGTATCCATTGTACCAACATGGTAAAAAGACAGAACCATTTTACTGACCAAACAAGTTCTTCAGTATATGATAGTTCAACATAGAGCCCATATGTGCCTGTTATAAGAATCCAATTATTGACCTTTCCAGAGGACTGGTCTCTCAAAAGGATCACTACCTTTCCAGAGGACTGGTCCCTCAAAAGGATCACTACCTTTCCAGAGGACTGGTCTTTCAAAAGGATCACTACCTTTCCAGAGGACTGGTCTCTCAAAAGGATCACTACCTTTCCAGAGGACTGGTCTCTCAAAAGGATCACTACCTTTCCAGAGGACTGGTCTCTCAAAAGGATCACTACCTTTCCAGAGGACTGGTCTCTCAAAAGGATCACTACCTTCCCAGAGGACTGGTCTCTCAAAAGGATCACTACCTTTCCAGAGGACTGGTCTCTCAAAAGGATCACTACCTTTCCAGAGGACTGGTCCCTCAAAAGGATCACTACCTTTCCAGAGGACTGGTCTCTCAAAAGGATCACTACCTTTCCAGAGGACTGGTCTCTCAAAAGGATCACTACCTTTCCAGAGGACTGGTCTCTCAAAAGGATCACTAAGAGTTTTTTGTTTAAAAAAAGCATGACCAGGTAATACCTTGCATCAATCTTAAAAAAATCTAAATCCTAACCATTAAAAGTTTAAAAGTTCAACTTTATTAAATAGAAAAATATCCAATCTACATACTGTGGAATCTTTTATTTTTGTGGGTACTAATATCATGGATTGAAGAAAAATTTTGTTTTCATGGATACTTGATTTCTTGGTATTGCCAGTTTGCCTACAAGTCTATAGGAGATTTGTACTATGTTGAACATTTTAATTAGTGGTTCGTATAATACCTACGAAATCCATGGAAATTGGTATCCAACAAATAATAGTGAATCCACAGTACATCCCTTACCTTTTAATCTGGCTTTGATATCATCAGTAAAATATCCACATTCAATCCACTCATCATAATCCACAATGTAATCAAATGCTGTCAATCCTTCAAAAACAAAAACATATATGTATTTCACAATACAGAGAAGAAACAGTTAAAATAGGACAAAATACTTACATTTGATTACAGAAAATTGTTATGCAAAGGATTAAATGGTTTAGAACCTGCCAATGAGATCAATAAAAGAAAATACAAACAAACAAATGTATGTTTTACTCTACAGCATCTTCTTTGTTGAACAGGGAGGTGAAAGTGGCCATGGAAGAGTTTCCACAACTTACCAAATACATGTTTATTGTTAATGTAGACTTTGAAGTCCATATCAGTCTATCTGACTCTGTGATCAATTTCACAAAAAAATTTAACTAGAAAAAAAACTTGTAAGTCATGAACATTTCAGTATATTTTTTTTTTAGTTGTACAATTTTTTATGAAAAGGACCACTGGATGGTAATTGTATGTACAACTGATTTAACCCAGTCTACAACTACTAAGTACTTACCATGAACATCTTTCTGCCTGACATTAGCCCCTTGCTCCAGAAGTACACATGCAGCAAATTGATTATTGGCCTGGGTAGCATAAAAAAGTGGGGTCCTGCCTTCTTCATTGATAGGGTCCACATCAGCTCCGTATGATAAAAATAGCTCCAGTATCTCTGATGATCCATCTAATCCAGCAGAGTAGTGTAGTGCACTGTAATAAGAACAAATTCACATATTAACAAGCCTGTCCCAAATAATCAGTGGTTTTCTTGTGTCATATCTTAATATTTTGTTTGTCATTAAAGCTTTGTGTTGATGACAGATCTTTGAAATGATTGATTGAAAATTTAGGTTTAGCTCCACTTTCAGCACTTTTGACTATTTCATGGTAGCCAGTTTATGTTGATGGAGTTTCTGTTTATTTTATTCACAACTCTTTTAGACCTGGATCAGTTTAGGGCTTTAGATCATGTATAGACACCTGTCAATTATTGAAGACTGTATATTGACCTCTAGATGCCTTTTGGGTATTTGTCTTGTTGAGTTGCTGTCTCAATGATATTATACATCCCATCCCCTTTTATTCATATTAAAAACTTCCTTTCACAAATAGTGCATATCAATTTAGCTAATCATGTTACATTGTGTGAGGATACATCTAGAGGAGTATGACAGCATCCAACAACTAGAGGCTCTTAAGAGCCTGTGTCGCTCACCTGTATCGACTGTGGTTTTGGAAATCATGTAAAATAAGGTTAAAATCATAATAAATAGTATTAGATACCCTAACAATGATTGAGGCCAAGTTTGGTTTAATTCGGCCCAGTAGTTAAATTTAAAGCAGGTCATCCCATTGTAGTCTTACAATAGTTACTAAAAACCCTTATCATTATTTAAATAAGTTTTCAAGTTGTGACCATTTGAAATAGTTTTTTTTACTATTTTTCCCAAAGACTTCTATAGTAAACCCCTATGTTCTATTTTTAGCCATGGCGGCCATGTTGGTTGGATGACAGGGTCATCAGATACATTTTTCAATCAAGATACCCAATTGAAAATTGTGGCTTAGTTTAATTCTATTTGGCCCAGTAGATTAAGTGTAGACGATTTTTGTAAAAGATTACAATAATTTACGAAAAATTGTGAAAAGTTGACTTTAAAGGGCAATAACTCTTGAAGGGGTCAATTGACAATTTTGATCACGTTGACTTATTTGTAAGCTTACTTTGCTGAACATTTTTGCTGTTTACAGTTTATCTCTATCTATTATAATATTCAAGGTAATAACCAAAAACTGCAAAATTTCCTTAAAATTACCAATTCAGGGGCAGCAACCCAACAATGGAAATTCAAAAGCAGATGGATCTTGACCTGATGAACATTTTTTCCCCATGTCAGATTTGCTCTAAATGCTTTTGTTTCAGAGATATAAGCCAAAAACTGCATTTTACCCCATGTTCTATTTTTAGCCATGGCGGCCATCTTGGTTGATGGACTGGGTCATCAGATATATTTTCTAAACTACATACCCTAAGGACAATTTAAGCTAAGTTTGGTTAAATTTGGCCCACTAGTTTCAGAGGAGGAGATTTTTGTAAAAGTTAACGGACGACAACGACGACGGACACCAAGTGATGAGAAAAGCCTGGTGAGCTAAAAAGTAGGTTACTCTGATCTACATTTTGAAGAGCCTGTGATAAAGGTTCCTGAAGTGAGACATATTGATCCTACATTCTGTCATTGGCTTCTGCACCAGCAACATTAAGATTCAGTCTTTGGTTATTTTTTTTTTTAGACAATAATAACTTTATTTATCCTATTAAACAATCAAGAGAGTATCCAGTGCAAAATGTTAAAAAATACCTTTTTTGCATTTTCTGTTTTTTACTGATTAATGTAATTAGTTTTTTAACAGTTAACATTTACATGCAGTCTGTGGTTAACATTTTTGTCAAATATTCATTGAATTTAAGAAACTTGGACAGCATCTGGAGCACAATTTAGATTTGTCCTCCCATTTTTTTGTATATCATTGATAAAAGGCCCTACTGTTGCCTATAAGAATAATTGCTTACATCCACTTCATCTGAACTTTGGTGAATAGTGACATCTGATTGGCAATCATATCACATTTTCTAACCTTTATACCGTATATTGGGTTTTTTTCATGTGAGTTTATTTTCGCTCTGTTCGTGGCAGCTAAAGAAACGCGGAAATGTGATCCCGCGTAAATTTCCCTGTTAATTTCAAGATGTGTCATTGTGTAAGCATTTCATACATATATATTTATTATACTGTTAACTATCTGGTATACACCAAATTAATATGTAAGCCCATTCTCATCCTAAAAGTTTATTATATTATATATAAAATCAGTATTTGTATTGATCGACAAATCACCAGAATGTGTATATTTAATTAGGATCTCTGTTTTTATAATAATTAAATTGACTTATCATACATGTCATACCTTTTGACAACACAGCAATCAGTGACACGTTCAAAAATGTTAATTAGCGACAATCTACTGATTGTTGAACTCTGAATTCTGTGTATTTTTGTTTGTAGTACTTGTATTTCTTTGTAATCGATTATCTGTCAATTAATAAATTTTATGTTGTTTACATCTTTAACTATACAATTCAGTGATTTTTTCATGTTTATTTTCCCATTTAGAGAAAATTATACACAGTGAAAATTTAACCTGCCCATTTTGTCATCAAATCCCAAAAAAAAGCCAACGCAAAAAGAACCCCGATATACGTAACGGTATTAGTTTTTGGCAGTTAACATTGCACTTTTACCCAGATGACAGTAACAAAATCAAATTACAGATAATAAATGATCTACAATCATGTAACTTGTCAATGTCTCTTGGTTTCTGGGAAATAGTTCCATATAAACTCATCAGAGATACCAGGCTTAAAATTGTGTATGCCAGACACATGATTCGTCTACAAAAGACCCATCAATGTAGCTGTTAAAAAAAAGTTAAAAAGGCCAAATAAAGTATGAAATTGAAGAGCATATGTAAATTCAGACACCGATTTGAATGTAGGGAGAACTTCAATAGTGACCTTCAACTTTGTTAATAGAAAAACCCAAGTAGAGCTATTGCTATGATCTAATTAATATAAGCCTCTGATCTAAGAATTTTTAAAACAAATTTATTTAATAAACCTTTAAATGCTGGTTATTAATAAAATATAAATTTATTGTTTACTGCACAACTTGTTAGTTCAGGCCCAACTTTTAAAGGAAATATCTATCTAGTAAACTAAACTCTTATGTCATGCTAAATATCAGTTATGTTGGTAAATACTTCCTTTGCATATGTTTGTATACATTTCAAGTATAAAATCACTTACCAGTTACCCCCTGGGTACCTCGGATTAACTTCGGCATCATTGTCCAGCAAAAATTGGACAGCGTCTACTGAACTCTTCCTATAAATATAATAATATATGGAATATACTTTATCATAAATAGAGGATATGGTAAAAACCTGAATTAAACTCATATACAAACTCATCTGATAATCACTTCAAATTCAGTATAGCATAAATAAATACAGTAAAAGTATGATTCTGATGTAATTCGTTTAGAACAATGCTTTCCATTGGACATTGACAAATATTTTAACGGTTTAGAATCCACGTCCTACCAGTCTGTAACTAAGAAAAGCCACCAGCTTGAATTCAGAATTTTTTGGGTATGTAATTTCTCAAAAAATAAACAAAAAAGTCACATTTTGTGCCTCAAAATCTTCTTTTTGTCAATAAATACCTCTTGTGTTTATGTTTGACATAGGGAGTATACCTATGACGTCACATTGTTAAGATGCCAAAGACAATGTAACAGTTTCACAGACTTTATCATTTATGGCTTTTTTAGCCAAAATATACTAAAATTTATTTTAATATGTGGCATTAAAATGGAGATAACTGTATTGTATTTTAAGCTTTGCCTTCATAAAAACGGGTCGCTAGGTAAACTCTATTTGCAACAGTAAAATCTATGTTTTACGAAGACAAAGCCTAAAATACAATACAGTTATCTCTTAAATTAAACTTATATACAGTTATAGCCAAAACTCACCTGATTATAACTACTATGAATAAAGAGCCAAGTAACCCAATCTTCTTGAAAATGAGATATCAAGAACTTACATATTGTGGAACTCTTTTATATTGAAGAGCACAAAAAGTGTACTTTTCTACGTAAAAGCATCCATTCAAATTTTCATGTTTCTATAACATCGTAGTAAGATTAAGATATTTGTTACTTTAAACTTGTTTAATGCATTGATGACCGTCTGAATTTTGTGGACAAATTTATATGTAATGTAACACACACATTCCTTGGTTGTCAGCATTTACTGACAATTTTCACAATCACAACATTCTTTTCAACTTGATCAGTTGACTAAGATGAATGTGATAGACTTGTCTACAGATTGCGACTTAATTTCAACAGCCTTAATATTTTGGTTTGCAGTAAGAATTTGACCTATATTTATCTGATTCTCTCAATATGAAAACTTGTTGAAGGTTTGTTTGATTAACTAAATGAATATGCCGAATAGAAATAGAATGGGAGTAGTGACAGCACAAGCTTGAAAATTATGGCAGCTGCCTTTGTGGTGAAAATTGAAAGAAAAGGTTTTTTCTAGATATACCAAAATTATAGCTTTCTGACATTTTTTTTAAAGCGGAAAGTGTTTTATTATTTTTCTAATAAGTAGTAGATTTTGTCAATAATAACATTATACTTTGGCTTCCTTCTCCTTTAAGGGTATGTCTTCCTTAAAGGAAGTTCCTTTAAGATTAAACATCCACATATAAACAAGTTGTCTGTTAACAGATATATTACCTAAAGAACCAAACCATACTATTTTTAACACTAATATCTAAGAGAGATAATTCGTTAATACAGAAACTAAATTAAATATACATGTAAAAAACGAGAAAAATTTACAAGAAAATTAACTATTGGTTTCACCTCATGTAAATGCAAATTATAAAATTTTAATTGAACTTTTTTATGACTACAATGCCTGTAAAATCTAATTAATGGAATAACTGAACCAGTTGCATAGGGGATGATCCAGCACTTGTTAACATAAGGATGGTTTGAATAGGGTTTCCCCAAGTTAGCAAGTATAAAGACATTGACTTTTATAGAAAATACCTTGAAATTAAATACATTTGTATGGCTCCAACACAGTCAAATCCGACCTGTAATTGGGGTTCGGAGGGCGAACTTGTGACCTAATGTCTCATTGACAAGCATTTTAAAAGTGAACTTGTGACCTAAGAAGGGTACTTTACTAGAGCCCCATTTGTTATTCTCTATTCTAAGCAAGTGGAGTGGTATTTTAAATCTTTTCTTTCATTTGATAATGTACCATGTAAAATACATTCATCTAATTACAAAATGTGCAGTCAATTCTAAATTGTATATTACAAAATCAGGATTGAACTGAATACAGAAAAAAAACTCCAAAATTTCCATAAATATAATCTATATATATTAATAAAATGCTTCGCTGGGGCGCAGCTTGATACGACCGCAGAGGTCGAATCCTGAACAGTTGGGGCAAATATGGACACAACATTCAAGCTTGATACAGCTCTGAATTTGGATTGTTATTAAATATTTGACACATCATAGGTTTCTGACACAGAAAGAATGTGGTCTAAGAACTTGAATTTTTTTAATTTACCTATTATGGTCCAATGTCCAAAATCAAAATACATGGTTAGATTCAGCATATCAAAGAACCCCATATATTCAATTTTTGTTAAAATCAAACAAAGTTTAATTTTGGACCCCAACTTGGACAAACTTGAAAACTGGGCCCATAATCAAAAATCTAAACACATGTTTAGATTCAGCATATCAAAGAACCCCAAGAATTCAATTTTTGCTAAAATCAAACTAAGTTTAATTTTGGACCCTTTGGACCTTAATGTAGACCAATTTAAAAAACGGGACTTAAAATTAAAAATCTAAATACACGGTTAGATTTGGAATATCAAAGAACCCCAATAATTCAATTTTTGATGAAATCAAACAAAGTTTAATTTTGGACCCTTTTGACCTCAATATGAACCAATTTGATAGCGGGGCCCACAAATAAAAAATCTAAATTCATGGTTAGATTCAGCATATCAAAGAACCCCATATATTCAATTTTTGTTGAAATCAAAAAAAGTTTAATTTTGGACCCCAACTTGGACCAACTTGAAAACTGGGCCCATAATCAAAAATTCAGCATATCAAAGAACCCCAAGAATTCAATTTTTGTTAAAATCAAACTAAGTTTAATTTTGGACCCTTTGGACCTCAATGAAGACCAATTTAAAAAACAGGACCCAAATTAAAAATCTAAAAACACGTTTAGATTTGGCATATCAAAGAACCCCAATAATTCAATTTTTGATGAAATCAAACAAAGTTTAATTTTGGACCCTTTTGACCTCAATATGAACCAATTTGAAAGCGGGGCCTACAAATAGAAAATCTAAATACATGGTTAGATTCAGCATATCAAAGAACCTCATATATTCAATTTTTGTTGAAATCAAACAAAGTTTAATTTTGGACCCCAATTTGGACCAACTTGAAAACTGGGCCAAAAATCAAAAATCTAAATACATGTTTAGATTCAGCATATCAAAGAACCCCATAAATTCAATTTTTGTTGAAATCAAACAAAGTTTAAATACTGGACCCTATCTTGGACCAACTTAAAAACTGGGCCCATAATCAAAAATCTAAACACATGTTTAGATTCAGCATATCAAAGAACCCCAAGAATTCAATTTTTGTTAAAATCAAACTAAGTTTCATTTTGGACCCTTTGGACCTTAATGTAGACCAATTTAAAAAACAGGACCCAAAATAAAAAATCTAAATACACGGTTAGATTTGGAATATCAAAGAACCCCAATAATTCAATTTTTGATAAAATCAAACAAAGTTTAATTTTGGACCCTTTTGACCTCAATATGAACCAATTTGATAACGGGGTCCACAAATAAAAAATTTAAATACATGGTTAGATTCAGCATATCAAAGAACCCCATATATTCAATTTTTGTTGAAATCAAACAAAGTTTAATTTTGGACCCCAATTTGGCCCAACTTGAAAACTGGGCCAAAAATCAAAAATCTAAATACATGTTTAGATTCAGCATATCAAAGAACCTCATATATTCAATTTTTGCTAAAATCAAACAAAGTTTAATTTTGGACCCTTTGGACCTTAATGTAGACCAATTTGAAAACTGGACCCAAAATTAAAAATCTAAATACACTGTTAGATTCGGCATAACAAATTAATAAATGTGATCAAAGATTTTACAAATCTAATGCGCCATACTGTGCAATTAAAGACTTCTTGAAATTTTTCAATATTTGAAATTTGAAAAAAAAAAAATTTTTGAAGAATAATTCTTTTTAATTTCTGAAATCTGAAATGAGAAAAAATTGACTCCCCACAATTTCTTTTTATCCCCCCCCCTTTTTTCCCCCAAAAAATTCTTTCCCTCAAGATATGGTCATAATCTCAATTCAAATTTCCAATGGAGTTGGCAACCATAATTACCCATTTAAATTTACCATAGTGCTAACTTAATCTATTTTATAATAGAATTAAAAATATAGTGTCAAATCTTTCATATGGATTTTTTTGTAAAAAAAAAGATGCAACATTTGCAGATATTTTTACTGGTCTTCCTTTATAAATATGCATTTCTTTAAACATAATTTAAAAGCAGTGTAAGGGAAGTAACCAAAACATTTTATTTGGATTACCTCCCTTGCACTGTTTTAAATTATCTTTATTGTTCATTAACCATTACTTTATACATAATTTAAAAGCAGTGTAAGGGAGATAATTTCAATGATGTATTTGATTTATCTCCCTTACACTGCTTTAAATTATGTTTTGTACTAAAGTATTTGTGCATTAACCAGGACAACCCTGTTTTTCCCCCTTTTTTGCCCCTAATTCCTAAACGGTTTGAGCCATAACCCCCCAAAGCAAATCCTAACCATCCCTTTGTGGTATGGAAACTTGTAGTATAATTTCAGAGAGATCCATACACCGTTCCACAGTTATTGTCTGGAAACTAGAAAATGCTTATTTTTGGCCCCTTTTTGGCCCCTAATTCCTTAACTGTTGGTACCATAACCCCCAAAATCAATCCCAACCTTCCTTTTGTGGTATTTAACCTTATGGTCAAATTTCAAAAAGATCCATTCACTTAAACTAAAGTTAGAGTGCGAAAACCAATGTGTCTTCGGACGACGACGACGCCAATGTCATACCAATATACGACCACAAAATTTTTTTGCGGTCGTATAAAAATTTGCATTTCAGAATAAAAAAAAGGAAACAAAAAGATTTTTTATTGGCTTTCATAAAGGAGACCTAAAAATATTTCAAAAACCTTTACAATTCTTGTTAAAATAAACCCTATCCTCCTTTCACCATAACTTACCATGAATGTATGTCAAAGTAGGTGATTTTAGATGGAGTTTTAAATCTGGTAAAAAATAGGTATATCATATGATTTACTGCTTTGTTATTAATTTGTTTAATAAAGCACCAATCAAAACATATGCTCCAAAAGCTCTAACAAAAAGCCAGTCGATCCAAGAGTGCAACCTAGTTTTAGGATCTTTTTGCATTGATTTTTATTTTTGCCTTTCCAAACTTTCCTTCTCAAGCATACATGATGAATGTTATTACAGAAACAATGATCAATGCATTGAAACTAGAATCCAAACGTTTTTATACTTCCACAGAGTCAATAGACATGTGGCTTGATTATCAGTCATTCTACCATCTAAACTAAAGGTATGCTTTGTTCAATTTGAGGAAATCCAGTTTCAGAACATGAAGAATAAATGAATAATCATCTTAAATATCAAAAGCTCTTTAAGTCAGACTTTCAATCAGCAGGTAATAAATAATTTTGTCAATAATTAGTGATAAGCTTAACTTATTTTATTCATTAATCATATCAAGGGTTTTAAAACATTCACATTTTTATATATTTCTCTGAATTAGAGCATTAAGTTGCTGAGTAGGACTTTAAACAGTCCCAACTGACCGATACTTTAATAATATCAGTTGACAAATTAAAATTTCCCTAACATGTCTCTACTTACAAGTTTAACTGCTCTGTCAATATTCTCCGTAATAAAATGTTTTGTTCCTTTTCTTTGAAATAAAATCCATTTTCAATCAGCCTGTAAAACAATTAAAACATTTCTGAGCATCTATGGATAGTTATGCTATAATCTCAAAAAATCTTGATATTAATAATTAATAGACAATTTATATGTGGGATATATTGTCCTAAATTATTGATTGTAATAAAAGAAAAGGAAAAGTTCATAAATGAGTTATCCTGAAACAGTTAATTTAATTTTCAGAATTGAATGCATATTGGTTAATATTTCCCAATACGTACACCAAACTATTGTGACTGGTTTATAAATTCCTAATCAGTACATGTCCAACCATTTATGGTGTGAAAACTAATGAAATTTCCTACAATTGTATAAATTTCTGAAAGGTTAAATTGTATAGATTTCTGAAAGGTTAAATTGTATAGATTTCTGAAAGGTTTAATTGTATAGATTTCTGAAAGGTTAAATTGTATAAATTTCTGAAAGGTTAAATTGTATAGATTTCTGAAAGGTTGAATTGTACCATACCGGTCATTAGTTGCTACCTTTTTTATGTATTTTGCTATTGAATAGATTTCTATGGTCTTTTTTCACTTGACTTCTTATGAGACAATGTGGTGATCTACATAAGTCTGTGTTTACTATATTTATCTGGGATACACACACACATATATATATATACCTGTCATATACACATCTATCCCATTTTCAACACTATCTTCTGTCTATGATCCACACATCAAAGTTAAAAGGTCAAACAAAATAAATCACTCATTATAAAAGTCAAAAGAAAGAAAAACAACCAAATAATGTGTCAAAAATATTTTCCACTGAAGCGATTTATCATGGGATATATGTTACATACCATTTGGCTGAGTCTATAAAATTGTTAGATACAGCTAGATATGGCAAACTTGGGATCTATGGTACATACCATTTAGCAGTGTCTATGAAATCATTAGCCACAGCTAGATATGGCAAACTTGGGATCTATGTTACATACCACTTAGCTGAGTCTATGAAATCATTAGCCACAGCTAGATATGGCAAACTTGGGATATATGATACATACCACTTAGCTGAGTCTATGAAATCATTAGCCACAGCTAGATGTGGCAAACTTGGAATCTATGTTACATACCACTTAGCTGAGTCTATGAAATCATTAGCCACAGCTAGATGTGGCAAACTTGGAATCTATGTTACATACCACTTAGCCGAGTCCATGAAATTATTAGCCACAGCTAGATGTGGCAAACTTGGGATCTATGTTACATACCACTTAGCAGAGTCTATGAAATCATTAGCTACAGCTAGATGTGGCAAACTTGAGATCTATGTTACATACCACTTATCAGAGTCTATGAAATCATTAGCTACAGCTAGATGTGGCAAACATGGGATATATGATACAAACCACTTAGCAGAGTCTATGAAATCATTAGCCACAGCTAGATGTGGCAAACTTGGGATATATGATACATATCACTTAGCAGAGTCTATGAAATCATTAGCCACAGCTAGATGTGGCAAACTTGGGATCTATGTTACATACCATTAAGAAGAGTCTATGAAATCATTAGCCACAGCTAGATGTGGCAAACTTGGGATATATGTTACATACCACTTAGCAGAATCTATGAAATCATTAGCCACAGCTAGATGTGGCAAACTTGGGATCTATGATACATACCACTTAGCTGAGTCTATGAAATCATTAGCCACAGCTAGATGTGGCAACCATGGGATATATGATACATACCACTTAGCCGAGTCTATGAAATCATTAGCCACAGCTAGATGTGGCAAACTTGGTGGATTCTGTTCCTCCTCAGCATTAATAGTTTTGATCATTAATCCCTCCTGATCGTTACGAATTAACATCTTCATAACATCAATACGACCCTGCATAGCACAACAATGTATTGGTAACAGGCTCTGGAAACAAACATTGACATATAAAGGTTACACCAGTATCACCCTGTATGGCACAGTAATGTATTGGACTATCCAATTCAAATACAACACAAATCAGGAAGTCACACTTATATCGCATCTTTGCCTCTTTTGAATTCAATATTAAAAAAGTCAAATTATCACATTCATTGTGTGTTCCATTTAATGCTTTCCATGAGCAGAAATTATGTTTAACTTGACTATTCATGATATATGGTAATTGTATAATAATGACTGTATTGTTAGAAAATATTTTAACCTTTAAAAATACATAACTTTTACATCTTAAGATTTATTTATTTAAATAATAAGACATCTTACCCTGTTGTTATTTTTACAATTGAATTATTCACACATTCAACCATACATTTTATCAGGTCTATCTATTTACTGATGAATCAATAAGAAATCATAAACCCATGACAATTCTTCTAGTAACTGAATTGTCTTGCCAAGTTCCATTACCGAACTCATTTGGAATTTGAAGTGAAAGCGTAACAAATTTTTGTATATATGTACAGGGATATAAAAAAGACGATGTGGTATGATTGCCAATGAGACAACTCTCCACAAGAGACTTTTGGGATGGCTATTGCTATTACAGTTAAACTTGTTTTTTTTTTTTACAATGACTTTCAATGAACAAGTCATCCTTGTACAAGATACATCTTCTTGTGGCAGTAAAAAAAAATCCATGTCATTATTAAACTCCCTAGGAGTTTATAGGTTAAAAAGTGGAAATTATTTGTGATGCAAACACACACAGATAGACAGACAAGCTGATTACGAAGGGCTTTAACAATCAAACATCTTTATACCCTGTTGTTCCTTTTACATATGTTCGCATTTTTATGTAGCAGAAGTTCTATACTGGCCATTTCTGCTGGTTTCCCTGTTTCACCGTAACATTTAACATGTAGTGGTGTATTTCCTTCTGAATCTTCAGCATCAACTAAAGCTCCTGAGTCAAGTATCTCCTAAAATACACAACATATGTCACAAATCAAATGAACAATGGTAATCTATCATCACTAACTTGTCCTGGCCGCCTCTCACAAAAAATGCTTCCATAAGCTTAAAAGCAGTTCATTCAAAAATAATTGATATATGTTAATATTTAAACTATAAAGCATGTGAATTTTTTAGCATCAGGTCATTTGGAGAGAAAAAACTGATCAATATTAATACATATTTTTTCTGTTTCAGCCTATATCTTCACAGAGACATACAGCTTTTCTGGATTTAATTTCAACAAATCTGAAATTTTGAAATGTATAAATACTTGAATACTATGGGAGCTTCATGACCAAAAGCAACCTAAACAGAATAGCCAAATTCACCTGAGGTCAACTTTTCTAGAGAGAGATGGAACCTTCTTTTCTTAATACTTTCTATATTTATCAACAGAGAATTTAAGAAAGAAGATAAATCATGTAAGTACAAAAGTACTGACTACGGAGCCAATGATACCCTTTGGGACTGGTAGTCCACCAGCAGCAGAATTGAACAGACAATCCAAAATGCATATATCTATAAAACAAGTTATATGGCTGTATGTCATAGTTTTTGAAAATGACGATGTACATGAATTAATTTCATGAAAATACAAACAATGATCAAAATGAAAAATTAATACTGTAACTACACTCCAATATTAGGCATGAGTCTACAGTGGAAAATTTTCATAAACTATTTATGTGTATGTGCATGTGTGTGTGTAGGGGGTTGTCAAATGGCATGAAAATGTCTTGCTTATTCGGTGAGACTTTTGCAGGTCATAAAACTATTTTTACCTCCAGTATCGAGGCATTCCTGGATCTATGTAAAGCCGTAGCTCCCTTGTAGTCCCTAACATTAACATCCACCCTCAATGACAGGATATCTCGTATTCCTTGTATATGGCCGTGGTAAGCTGTGGTGTGAAGTAATGTACTGCCATTTATACATCTGAAAATAGAAATATTTTGTAACATCTCTCATTACATTCTTCTACTCATACCAAAGGTCATACCTCACAGTATCTAGATATGTCAATGGAAAGAGAAGGTTTATATAATTATTACCCAGTCAGAGGACTGAAACAGAAAGTTCTATATAAAAGTTAATGACAATTATCTTCTCAATGTTTTCTCGCCTGCAACAAGCCTGACTATGGTGTGCTGTTTCAGGCAATTCAGTGGTGTCAACAATTTTTAAAATTTGTGATTAGGTTCTACAGGTTAAGATGTATCTCTGTGTTAATAGTTAAGTTCATTTGGGGTTAAAACAATAATCTTTAGTGCCTTGAAAATGACCTAACAACATCTTAAATCTATATAAACCTGCTGGTGAAATGACTAACAGCAATGATCTTTATTTGATAAAATCCCAATAGATGTTAAACAGTAGACCAGATTGCTACAAAATTGTATATTTTATGATTTTGATAAATGGAGATGGATCACAAAGTGCTTGTCCCTAGCCAAGAATGATGTCAAGTCTCTTCTTACTTTATTTACAGCTTTTAAAAAATTAGAACAATTTAGTATAGACACCATGTCCATTGTTGATGATTGTATATTGAACTTTAGATGTCTTTTAGGGATTTTTGTTTGGTCATAAGATAATTTTCTTATTGACCTATAACCTACATTTCCTTTTATTCATATAAACAACTTAAAAATTATTTATTTTGAAGTCACCGAGACATAACCAAGTAGGCAGAGCTTCATAAACTACATGTAATTAAAATACTTGAATGCTGATGTAACTGCATGTCTTATATCAATGATGTATTAAGTGCTTATTCTGAAAAGGATCAATCAGAAAACTTAACATTAAGTGTTTATGACAAAGCCAGAAATTTACACTGATGTCGTTCTGCAATACTTTTGGCAGCAAAGATTAATAAACTGTTGACACAGAGTTATGTCTCGCCTGTCGGCATAAAATTCAGAAAAAGACAATCTGATGGACAGCAACATTGCTAATTAATTCAAAGTTGCTGAACCAACTAGTGGGTAGGGCCTCGACATGGTTGACAAACTGAGATGTACGGACAGCAATGTACCTTTATAGAAAATATTGTCTATTGTAAGTAGTTCCTATCAAATTAACTTAAGCAGAAAACTTATCATTGAAAATTGCTAATTAATTGAAAGGCCTAGGGGCAGGGCCTCAAAATAGTCGTCAAACTGATATGAACTGATAGCAATGCAACTTCACACAAAATATAATTCTAATGCAATTATTTTGTATCAATGGTTCTGATTGGATGACAGTAAGTGTACAATTCTCTATCTCCTTGTCTGTAACTAAGGAAGCCGACATTTTGAATTGCAGAATGTTTTGACATATAATTTTTACAATAATAAGCAAAAAAACTCACATGTTGCACCTAGAAATCATCTTTTTATCAAATTTTATTACATTCTGAAGCGGCCAAGAAGCCAGAAAACTCCTGGTGTTTACGTTTGACGTCAGAAGCATACCTATGACGTCACCTAGTTTTGGGGTCAAAGAAGATAACATCTTTTCGCAGAATTTTCTTTAATGAGAATTTTACACTGAAATAATGATTGAAATTGAATTATGTACTTGTTTTGCATTAGAATAGAGATAACTGTATTGTATTTGAAGCTTTGCGGACGTCCATCGGTAGTTTTACTGTCGCAAATACCCGTTTACCTGTCTCCGCTACGCGTCGCCAGGTAAACTAAATTTGCGACAGTAAAACTACAGATGGACGTCCGCAAAGCTTCAAATACAATACAGTTATCTCTTAATTGATCTATCACCAGTAGTTCCTATCCATCTAACTTGAGCAGAAAACTTAACATTGAAAATGGCTAATAAATTCAAAGTCACTGGACCATGACCTAGGGGACAGGGCCTCAAAATAGTCATCAAACTAATATGTACTGACAGTAATGAATCTTTATACAAAATATCAGTGATCTATCACAAGTAGTTCCTATCAAACTAACTTAATCAGAAAACTTAACAATTGTTGACGCCGTCGCCGGAAAAGCAATCCCGATGTCTAGCATTCCACCACTTTCATCGCAGGTGAAACAAAAATGTATAGATGCATCTGTATACAGTACTATGTTATTGTTAGGATAAGTCCAACGTTTTATTTGTACTGACCTGCTTCTTAAACAGCAATACTCCTTATATCCTCTGGAATGGTCTGACAATGATCTATCCAAAAGGTCCATATCACCAGACATTATCTTAGGTACAATGTTGGAATAGTGTTCATACAATTCTGGAACAAAAAACATAACTTATCTAACGGACTGCTATAAACATAACTTATCTAACGGACTGCTATACACATAACTTATCTAACGGACTGCTATAAACATAACTTATCTAACGGACTGCTATAAACATAACTTATCTAACGGACTGCTATAAACATAACTTATCTAACGGACTGCTATAATTAACAACTGGAGATATAATAAACTTCAGTTAATCTTTAATGACTCTTTTAAAAAGAAAATCTCATAATGGTTTTTCTTAGTTATACTAAAATGTTCATGACTTAGTATATTTTCTCCTACATATTTTTTCCTAAAAATAGTCACATGCCTGTAAATTAATTAGGAGATACTAAATATTTTCATTTGATCATAAAAATGCATGTAATTCTTAACCAAAGACATTTGTGCATAGAAAGAAGTAAACATAAATTTAACATGGCTCTGTTACTTTTCAAGATGTGTACAATCACAAAATATCATTTCTTTATGACTTATAGTTTAGACCTAGATATTTTCTTGGGAAGTGATGAGGTTTGTCTTGTTTAATTATATCAGGTCTTAGCCTTGCACTTTGTATTTTAAGGTTCATAAAGGTATTACCCTCAGTAGTTGCTTTACTATTTCATTTTTTGTTTTTTATCAATTGCTTTTCCTAAATAAATTCTAATGCAATATAATATGTAATGCCACTTTTAAATGGGATGATGTCTGCTGTCAATTCCACTGTTGAGGGTCTGGAGCTTCTTTCACAAAGAATCTTATGACAGTAATAGATTGTAGGTTATACTGAAATGTTCAGGACTTAAGAGTATTTTTTGTGAAATTAGTCGCAGTCGTTGGCAACAAAGTTTCTGAGATATTTCAAAGGTTGTATTTTGAAGATTTTGCTAGTATTGCATAAGATAATAAATAACAGTACTGTATTTGAAGAGCTGCTATTCAACCACAGTAATGTTATTCCTACATAAATTAACAAATGAGAGGTTTAGCTAGCTATAAAACCAGGTTTAATCCACCATTTTCTACATAAGGAAATGCCTGTACCAAGTGAGGAATATTTTCCTTGGAGTTTGGTATATTTGTTATTTTACTTTTTATGTATTTTTGGTGTGAATATTCGTATTTCATTTGTAATATGTTTAATTTTCCTACCTATCAAATACTTCTTGAAGTCATCATTTTTGACAGTTTCAAACGGTGAAAGTTGTTTGGTATTTTTACAGTGTACATCACAACCCCATTCTATAAGGAGCTACAAAACAAAGAAGTTAACATCAAGTATTACTTTTTGTAAATTCTTATTTAATTACGATGCTAAAAGCATTCATAAAACTGTTATAATTCATATCTTTTCTTTATGCAGATGCAGTTCAAAGAGTTCTAAATACTTACAAAATTTTATAAGAATTCATAATACCGCAAATTACATATGCTTTGCCTTATGTCAATGAAAAGGACCAAATAATATGGATTTTTGTTTATCAAAGAAAGGGAACTTTAAGAAAGGCAACATCAGTGTATTCTCAGTTCGTTTTAATTTACACTTACATGACAGACTTTTCTATGAAGACCTTCAATAGCAGCATTCAATGGAGTATTTTTCATTATATTTTTAGCATCAATATTTGCACCATTTTCCAATAATAATCGCACAACATCCTGTAATAAAAGAACAGAGTTCCAATGTCCCAAGCGTTGCACATATTTTATATTTCCAAGGGGCATAACTCTTTTAAAAAAAAAACTGATTGTGCACCATTATAGAACTTGTCCGAGATATTGCTGATATTAACCTATAGTATGAAGTTTTATAAAAATCTGGCAAGAATTGTACCCGTGAGAGTGCTAACTAGGCCATTTTACATAAATTTAATATTTCCAAGGGGCATAACTCTTTTAAAAAAGTCGATCGGCCACCATTATAGAACTTGTCCGAGATATTGCTGATATTAACCTATGGTATAAGTTTTATAAAAATCTGGCAAGAATTGTACCTGTGAGAGTGCTAACAAGACCTGACGGACAGACGCCCAGTATTTCCATGTCCCCCGCAACGCGTTACGCAGGGAACAATAATAAAAAAAATAACTATCAGAGGAAGGTTCCTTTGGCCAAGATATCTACCACATATCTTGACATGCCCCCTTGTTGTTTTTAATGATAGTATTATTTCTGTATTAGGTAGTGATTTTGTCAGGCAAAGTATGACAGCATTTGTTAGATTTGTTTGCCTGAAATACTTTACATAATTTGTTCCTATTACCCAGAAGCTGTGAACAACATCAAACAATTAATTCTCCTCAAACTGGAGCCATGGGTTGTCTTGATCTTTCAGTGAGCGTTTGCTCCATTTTGAAGGCCTCACTGTGACATTGAGATAAATAACAGCAATGAAAGCAGTATTTGCTTACTTTTGGTTTTGTGAATTGCATGTAATGATTGTCAAAATTAAAAAAAAAAAAAACAATGAACCAAACCTAACAAAGCATACAAAAAATATGTTGAAAGAGTACTAAAGAAAAAACTCATTCAAATTAATTGACTTCAATGCTGTTACTGTATTAGCATATATTTGGCCATTAAGATGAAATAATTACAATTTCTACAAGTCAATATAATTTATTAGGATAATTATATGGTGGACATACAAAATGCCATTTTCTACAAGCCTTATGTGATGCTGTATTTAGCAGATTTGGTCAACTTACAAATTGCCCATTTCTACAACCAAAATGTAGAGCTGTATTAACAGATTTGGTAAACTTACATATTTCCCATTTCTACAAGCCCAATGCATAGCCATATTAACAGATTTGGTTAACTTACAAAATGCCCATTTCTACAAGCCCAGTGAAGAGCTGTATTAGCAGATTTTGGCTCTTTAGAATTAATAAATGCAGGATGACTTTGGAAAAATACGATCATCTTTTCAACTGTCTCATATTCATTATCTCTGGCAGCTTTTATAAATAATCTCTGCCATGATACTGTGTTGCCATGGAAAACTTGGTACAGAAACTGTTGTCCAGCTTTCAGTTGTTTGTTTCGACTAGAGGCTTCAACATATATCTAAAATTAGAAATATAAAGAAATCATATATGAACTTTTTTAATGAATTCACTGATATATGATATACCCCTGACAAGTTATTTCCCTGGTCCCAAGTTTGTTGCAGGTTTGTTTTCAATTCCTTTTTAGTGTGGCATTGCAGTCATATACAATACACAACTTATATAAAATAAATTTGGATAATTGTTAATCAGATTTATATGAAACCAATATGAACTTATAGTAATTTCATTTACAGTAAGCCAACTTATTATCACAGATACTTCGATAATAGCCTATTTTGTGGAGATTAATATTTACAATTGAAAAGATCCAAGTTTGAGATGTTCATGAGTATTTATATTTGTGTTATTTTCTACTTTCCCAAATGAATCACTTGCAAATATAAGTTGGTTTACAGTAATATGTTATTCTCCTCTATGATACATTATTTCTTCTTTCTAGACTTGTACTGATATCAAAATCTGAATAATCATTAACATGTATATAACCCCAACAATGAATTGCAACATCAGTAACTAACATCTCCTCCTCAAAATCACTGCTCCAATAACTACCTCAATATCACTGCTCCCCCAACTTCCTAAGTTGTACTGACCTCATAATCTGGATGATCATTCGGATGTACATCAACCAAACCAACCGACGGTAACTTCAGTAATTCTCTTACACTTGGTCCTGTAAAAAAAAGACTTGAAATCAGCTTAATTGTCCCTTGAAGAAGACTGTACTTCCACCTGTAAAATGATATTTTGTAAAAAACATAAATTAACGATTTACTTGTTAAAATGATTTACTCACTGTAAATTCAGAAGTTATTGAGTGCATTTATTGGTGCTATTTTTGAAGAATGGACAAAAATACAAGATTAATTATTGTGATTTCAGAAAAGTCTGTCTACAGATATATGTATAAGATATCAGAATGTGAGTTCTTATTATTATTGCGATATTCAGTCACACTATTCGCATTTATAAAAACCTTTCAACAGTAAACTAAAGTAAGTTTGAATTGAAGATTAACTGTCTTTATCAATACAGTTTTTAATCAATCTGCAAAAATTGAAACTCAAGAAAATAAATGAACACAAACTGTAGATAGAGGTGATAACTGATACCCCTGCCTCACACATAATTACAATTTTCAGATAAGTGCCTGCATAATTCCTGAAAATTTAATGTTAATCAACCAAGTTCATATTGAACCTTCCTCTTACACTAACCATTGTGCAAAAATTTCGAAAGATTTTGTCAACAGAGACTAAAAATTATATAATCCAGAAAACCATTACATGAGAAATAAACATATTGATGGATTGGTATGCCACACACTCCCTAACATGGACAATGGTTATAAAGTATGGCCGTTAACAGACTTCTTTGAGTATTCCTAGTCCATCAGTGAAGTATCAAAAGCTGATATACTTGTCTGGAAGCAGGATAATATACTTATATATGTCTGTATTGTCACAAATATACATAAAATATTTGTCACTGGACATTAAGCAAGCAATAATCACTAGTACTGGAGACACAATAGTTAGACACAAATAAGCGTTTGACTAATGGACTGACAATGCAATGGCAAAAAAAGCCTCCACTTTTGAGTTTGGGTAGGGATAATATTGCTTAACCCAATCTTCTTGACAAAAATATATCCCTTTTCCATGCAACTGAGGTGATATTAAAAGTCCAACCCTGATGTAGTACGAATACATCAAACAAAGTGAAACACCATTATACAGTGTGCTCCCATTTTCTCTAAGTAAATTCAACTCAATATATTGTCTAAAAACTTATACCACTTTTCTTATCATCCTGTTTTTCTGAAAATTTAAAGATTATTATAAAGTACAAAATATATTCAATGAGCACCAAAACTTCCTGGTCATTGATTTGGTATCAGACAGAAGTTTTATGAATACAATCAGATATAAATATTTAAAAACTTTTAAAATATAATTTTAAAATTTTCTCTATACATCTGATAGGTGCTTAAGCATTTGAAGCTGCAAAACATTTCTTTGACAGATATATATCTTCCAAGTGCAATATTTTTGGGATCAGAGGTAATAGTTGTAAAATTAAAATAAATATACAATAATTATATATGAATATATACAGTTAACATTCAAAAACCAAAGTACTGTTTACTCTCATATTTTATTTAATCAAGTAAAAACATAGGTAAACCATATTTAACAAATTTTGCCTCTTACATATTTTTTTCCTTAAACCCATATAAAATCATCAAATCTTTTCTAGAAGAAAATTGGGATTTCAAATTACGGAGGACTAAGAAATAATTGAATGCATCCTAATATAACATCATATGATTGCAGGTTTAATTATTAAGCAGATAAATTCTGATCTAAAGTTTATTCAGTCATTTAAAGAATTCTATGGTTTTAAGGATAAACCTAGCATTGATGGATCTACTATATGATGATTAAACTTAATAAAAGTCAATGAAGCATTCAATTTAGGTCAGATTTACTTTTGGTTTGAGCTAAACATGCATGTTACATACTGTGTATCCAATAGGTAAACTCAGGAATCAAATTTTAACAAAACTTTATAAAACTATAGATGCCATCCTTACCCAAGTTATATGATTGTAAGTCACTTCGTATTTGAAATTAAACTGATATTAAACTTAAGGAAGTTCGCTACTCTGTTTCAAAATAACAAGCATTTTAAAAGATTGTTTTAAATTGATAGTATGTAATCAATGGAACTAAAAAAGCATAAAAATGATAGGTGAATAAAACCAAAGGATCCTGAATATCTGACAAAAAGTCAAAAACAAGCTTGGTTAACATCCTTAATACAAGTCAATGTAGCATGAAATGTAAGCCAGAGTTACTTCTCTTGGTGTGAGTAAGGAATTCTCATTGACTATAATAAATAGCTATTTTCTTTCATTTATTAAGGAGGTCTTATTTATTTCACTGGTTGAAAACTGTGAGCAACATACTGGATATCTAATTTGCAAGTAATTACAAAATCTAATTAATTTAACAAAATTTGTCTATACAACTGAAAACAAAAAATGACAAAACGCCCAAACCATCACCTATTACAACATTACTACAGCTGTCACTCGTTACACATACCTCTGTAAATATTCTTTCCTGTACATGAAAAGTATGTTTACTACATATGTTCTATAATCATCAAATAACAACAGAATACACAAGTCTTATAATTCAAAATGCAGGACAAGGTCATATATTTAAACTCATAATTCAAACATAAACTTAAATTTCCAAATCCTGTTATCAGCTATCAATACTGTCATTTGTGTGTGTGTTTTTATTTGCCAGCTAGAGAAAATACAGCATAAATGTCATAGTTTCTCTCTAAAATTAAGTTGTTTCAACCTTTTCTGTTAAGTTTACTACTTCTAAGTTATGAAGTCAGCTATTGGTATCAATTGGGGAGAAAATCTATAATAAACTTTTATTTAATTAAAAGTCAAAGTTCAGGTCAGAGGCAATCCAAGAAAAGTTCAGGATCAAGGCAGGTGTTAGGAAGGAAGATTCAAATGGATGACTTTAGCTTGAAAGGTAAACAGAGAACAAGGAGCATCAACCAGAATGACCTTTAAAGAAAAGGTCAAACCGAAGTCAGAGTCATTCCCATGTTTGAGGTATTAAAGAAAGAAAAGGCTCCGACACAATCTAAATAAATTAAACGCTCATTCAAACAACAGACAATATATGGTCTCACACATTCTAAAAAAGGTTAAAGAGGATCAAAGATCAAAAGTAAATTAAGGTCCTGCATGTGTTGGTCATACACATTCTGAAAAAGATCAAACAATTTCACAAAATAAAGAATCACTAATGAGGGTCAAAGGTTAAAATTAAACTAGAGTGATAGTAGAGTCCCGCATGTATTGGGCATACACATTCTGAAAAGGATAAAAAAAGTTCACAAAAAAAAAGGGTCAAAGGTCAGAATCACAAACTCAACTTTACCATTATTAGCTTTGTTAAAAGACCAAGGTTCTGCATCTACTTGATAAAAACACAGAAAAATGTCTGTATATACTGTAGCCATCTATCTATATATATGTTTATCAAAACATGTAGAAAAAATGACACATAAAAAAGTGACAATTTTCTATACTGTTTGTTCCAAATCTTACAAAGTACTATGGTTAAACTTTAGCATACATATCTCACATAAAAGATATAATAAGTAGCAATTTTTGCTTTCAAAAAGAATCTGATTTAAGCTAGTGGAGGAAAATCAATTGGTTTTTTAATAAAAATAATAATATTTCACATGTTAAAAGAAATCATGCTGTAAATGAAAAAAAAACCATCTAATTTGTTGAAAGAATGTTTATAAAATGGATTTTCCTTGGGAATGCAATTTTGTTATCAAAAGATGTTTTTTAATCAATATCAAACATCAATCTTACAGTTCCATTCAAATCCAGAGGGAAGTTTAGCCAGTATTGGATTCCAATAAGTCTCATTTCTGAATAACCTTTGTAGTTTTTAAAGTTTGTCAAACTTTTTAAGTTTCCAGTTTTACTCTGATAATTCATTGGTTTTAATGATGTTGGCAACGCTTACAACTCATTACTGTTTTCACTATTCTAATAAAATACTTTTGAATGTCTATGGTAAAATGTTTAAAATATTCCTTTAAACTTGACTGTGATTGTGAAACGTTGTTGGCAATCATTCTGGAATTAACAGCGGTCTTATCCAAACAAAAGTGGTATTTCATGTCAAATCGAATTAGAATTTAAGATAATTTTTCTTAAGACACATACCTCGTTTTCCACTGAAATCATCATGAAATTCTTTTGTACGTTTATTTCTTAACACAACTTTTCTCCCTTCTGGCAGAGACTCTCTTTGCATTGCCAAATAAAATCCTGATCCATTGGTTAAAGTCTGAAAAAAACATTAATCAATTATTGTCCGAACATGTGTACATCAGGATCTCTTAAGAATGTTGCAACAGTAGTAGGGCTGATTTTCTTTGTTCGTACTGTCTCTTCATGGTGGAGTCAGTGTTGATGTGTGGTCTGCTGTACTGTACAATACTTTTGGTAATTTCTGTTATCCTGTTTAAGTATTATTTTTTAAATCAATTGTCAATAATATATACATTGAATCACAGTAGGGAAACCTGACAATGCACATAATTCTCAACTATCTTTTAATTAACATGTAAAACTGGTGATTTTTTTATGGAGATTACATACAGTGTGTCTATGTCAATAAAATGCCTTACATTTAGATAAATACTCACTAAGTTTACAACACATGACAGACAGTAATCATTTACACTGATATTACGTGGAACATCTATGACATCAAATCGGTCCTTCATCTTATCACGGATCTGTTTTCTAACCTATCATGATATAAATAAATTGCTTACAAAATAAGTCATCCATATTGGAAAAAAGCCACACACGAAACAATTTTACTAAGACAATAAATATAACATGTTTACACAACTCCATTCTTCTATCATTAACACAGCAACATAGTCCATTCAATGGCACTTGACATTCCATCATTACATTGGATTCAATCATTTCTATGTATTAACAAAAAGTTCATTTTTGAGAAACTGAACAAAAGATCCAAGTCAAAAAGATAGATATATGTATGTTCTTTGTGACCTTTCAAAATATCTTGTTTTTCATGAAAATTTGTACAAGAAAAGAGCAAAAAAGGCTTTTTTTCTTTCCCCCATTGTGTTAAGTTGAAATACTTATTTTTTATGATAGTATTAAATGTTCTGCAATCATTTTGAAGCACAGTTTTTCATTCCCCTGTGAGTTTTGTTTTTTTGTAGATACAAATGCTGTAAAAATAGACACAGAAAACATATCAATATAAAAGCAAGTTGTTGTATTCCTATTGTTCACTGCTAGTTCTTCTTTTGTACTATACATATTCCCTTTAAAGCCCAAACAGAATTCCTGATCTTCTTCCCACAATGCAACAAAATACTTTATCAATGCTCAGCCTATCTGACCTTCAAAAGATATACTTTTGTCTTGAAATATGTTTTTATTTCAATGTGTTTAAACTGTCATTTAAACTAGTTTTACCCTACCATAAGTTCATGTGTCTTTCCCTCATCATGATGTAATCAGTGGTCGTAATGCGTTTGCCATTATTGGGAATTTGGTAGATCTTTTATGGTCTCTATCTAATTCATTCCTAGTTTTTTACCCGGGGTAATTTAGAGCTTGACATACTACATTGACACTTGTCTCTTGTTGAAGACCACACGTGGAACCCTAGATGTCTTCTGTTTTTTCATGTTATTGGGTTGCTGTCACATACATGTATTCTCCATGTATAGTTTTATTCATATCTTTTATATGTGCATCATCCTTCGTCAGCTTAAAGCTTTAGTGTGAAGACAATATAGACACTTTATGATTAATTATCAAGATAATCACAGAAAGCTGAAAAAAAAGTTTTAGTTGTGAATAAATATTTTTGTACATGTAGTGATATCCATAGTTACAGGTACCAACCTCACTTTTAACATCTTCAACATGCTGCATCCATTTCTGACAGTACTTTATATCAAATCTTTTCTTCAATTTTTCCTGAGCTAAAATAAAAGAAAACAAGTTTGAACAAACAGAACTCCTATGTGATCCTATCTTTATGATAAAAAGTATTTTCAAATCAAAAGCAAGTAAGCGATCTAAAGATCCAACAGACCTAAAGTCACTTCATACAACTAATGAAAACATTCTTAAAAGGTTTAAATGACCATGACTTATAAACAGCAGTGTTCCAGCTAGGCCGTTTTCACAGGGCGGTCCGCCCTCCCTTTCCCGAGTGCCGCCCTGTGCCCTTTTTACAGTTTCCAGGGCGCCCTGCCTTTTTGAAGATCGATTGCATATTTTTTTGATCGTTGTGAACCGCCAAATACGAAATTTTACCTGGCGACAAGTTTATGACTTTGTTTACAACCCCAAACTAATCAACGGTTACAACAGGTGTCATAATTTGTTGTTACAGCTAATCCGTTAATCGGATGGGTCATTAATGATCATCAACATTAATTCATTCAAAGAGAATCGGTCAGTCGGCATTTGTTTTTGAAGAAATGTTCATACGACAACTTCGGCACAATATTTGCAATGTTTACCGTAGTTTCATGGAGAAAACGTAATTGACAGGTAAGTCGAAAACCATAATCAACTTGCTAAAAACATCGTTTTACTTGTTTTCCGTAAAAAAATAGCAATTCAGACATATTTGTCTTTGACTGCCCTCATTTTTTATACGAAAATAACAAAATCGACCGCCATTGTTGATCGTATTTACCATTTTCTACGTACTGTTTATAATCCTCCAAAGAAGGAGCAAACTCGAATAAAGAAAGATAACTCAACCTAATTTTTTCCTAGCATTGAGTTACTTACTAAAGATATTCTAAAATATGTCTACATACTTCTGGCCTTAGAATTTATATGTTAAGGTCTTTTGAGTTATGGGAAAAGTTAAAGAGGGTCTTAGAAGAAGGGTTGATAGGGTGCCTTGGTCATCTTTTCTGTATTCTTTATTTTTAATACAAATTTTCACTGTTCACTAATTCCTAACATTGTGCATTTACTGAGCACAGCTGTTTTGTGCTGTATTGCCTTTAAGCACAGCAGAGGTAGAAAGGGTCTTTCCAAGGTAAAACTTGTAAAGTGTGACCATAGAAACAGAATGAACCAGGACACCTTTCAAAACACACTGCATATAAAGCTTAACTGTGTCAAGCAATGCATGCTTTGAAAACTTGTGTGACAAGGTGTTTGACAAGTTTTTCAGCCTAAAAAGTAGAGAGATAGAGTTTTATATGGCTTATGATGTTGTTCTTGTATATATATAACCAGTGATTCAATGAATAAACACAATGTTTGATTAATATCTTTATTAAAACATGCCCTTTTCATATTATCATGTCATGCATTAAATGCCCTTTTTCAGGATTGGTACCCTGCCCTTTTGAAATCCTAGCTGGAACACTGAACAGTACAATTATACATGTATAAGAAAATGCTACAGACACAAACAAACCTAGTTTATGTTGTTCTATCTCCTGTTTTAAAGACAAACCTAGTTTATGTTGTTCTATCTCCTGTTTTAAAAACAAACCTAGTTTATGTTGTTCTATCTCTTGTTTTAAAGACAAACCCAGTTTATGTTGTTCTATCTTGTTTTTAAGACAAACCTAGTTTATGTTGTTCTGTCTCTTGTTTTAAAGACAAACCTAGTTTACGTTGTTCTATCTCTTGTTTTAAAGACAAACCTAGTTTATGTTGTTCTGTCTCTTGTTTTAAAGACAAACCTAGTTTATGTTGTTCTATCTCCTGTTTTAAAGACAAACCTAGTTTATGTTGTTCTGTCTCTTGTTTTAAGGACAAACCTAGTTTATGTTGTTCTATCTCCTGTTTTAAAGACAAACCTAGTTTATGTTGTTCTGTCTCGTTTTAAAGACAAACCTAGTTTATGTTGTTCTGTCTCGTTTTAAAGACAAACCTAGTTTATGTTGTTCTGTCTCTTGTTTTAAAGACAAACCAGTTTATGTTGTTCTGTCTCATTTTAAAGACAAACCTAGTTTATGTTGTTTTGTCTCTTGTTTAAAGACAAACCTAGTTTATGTTGTTCTATCTCCTGTTTTAAAGACAAACCTAGTTTATGTTGTTCTATCTCCTGTTTTAAAGACAAACCTAGTTTATGCTGTTCTATCTCCTGTTTTAAATCTTTCCTTCTCTGTAGTTCCTGCATGTTAGAAATCATTGCTGGCATCTTGTCCAGTTGGTGGTTACATTCTCTGATTAAACGATTCATAAAATCCTAAAAATAATAATGAAGTAGAAACTGAGAATAGACATATAGTTGACTATTATTATCTGGAAACCAAAGGGCCATCGATTGAATTCTGAGTCACCTAAACTTGGCACATTTCAACAGTAAAATATCTTATGTCTACATTTAAAAAAAAAACATCATGTGAAACCTGATCGCTTCATCATTATCATCTGTTTTACTCGCAATCCGCTTTCATGCAGAAAATACTTTTAGATTAGTTTAAAACAAACAGTAAAAACCAAAAATATGCAAAAATAAATACAACTTTCTATATCAAACTGTTGTAGTTTTAACAATTCTCGTCCGTTTTTCAAGTTTTTTTTTTACACCATTCTATTTCTTTCTAAAGGTAGAAGTTTATATGATACAGCACCACCTTGTTTTTTAATAAACTATGGATTTCCCAAAGGATCGCTTTATTACCCGACTCGATAAAATCATGTGACTGATAAGAAATTCCAGATGCCATTTTACAACCGCAGTATCACCGATAGTAACCAAAGGGGTCTTGCCACTAAGACAATAATTGGATAAATCCTATGACTTTAGTACAGGGCTCCGCAGGTCATTAATACATGCTAATTAATCGTTGTTATTCCTTTTCATTTTACTTCCATGGGTTGACCTAATCACAGTTTGTAGTAGTGGACATCTAATTAATTCACATTTTTCATTTGAGACAGAGTTTTTGTTTTCTGTAGTTGTTTAAATTACTCAATTTGAGAAAGTATAATTACATCTGGTCTCAATTGCCTGACAATCTTACTGTAAAATACAGAAACAATTGTAAGCATATTGACAATCATACATACAATCAAAACATATTATTCCATTCATACTTACATATCTACTAAGAACTGCTTGACTTTGTCTGAACTTATATCCCATCATAAAGAAAAAGCAGAAATAAGCACATACAGACTGGGGGTCAGACTGAAACAAAACAAATAATTTTTTTAGATTATCATACAACCCTGTAAAAACAGAATTAAGCACATACAGACTGGGGGTCCGACTGAAACAAACAAATAATTATCTTTAGATTATCATACATTCCTGTCAAATGAAACAAAAGATGTGGGTGAGTTTTTTCCATTTAGATTTGATAAATTCTCTTGAAATCCTTTAAGTTTTACCATATCAGACCCCTGTCTATATCTTTTCCCAAGGGAGATTTATAAATTGTGGTATAATGCTATATTCCTCAACTGTAATGTTAAAAGGAAATCAAGTGCATCTTTTACAATTACCATTTTTTTTTGTAATTTTTAAAATAGCATGATAAAAACTGCATTACCTTTCATTGCACCCAAGGTCACCATTTCTTTTGGTTGGGTTGATGTTAATCAATCTTAAGTTTTGTGGACTGATGTTTGTCTTTTCTTCTATTCTTTTTGCCATAGTTTTGTCTTTCTGTGACATGGGTTTTGATTGTCTCCCTTTGGTTTCTTTCTTTTTTTTTTATCATTCATATGACAGTCAGTGTAAGAAAATCTGACTGAACATGTTACATTTGATCACAGATGTCTTTTGGCTATTTGTGTGTGTTGCTGTACATTGTCTCACAGAAGTACACCTAATGTCTCATTTCATTCATACATAACGATGTGTATAAGCTGTATATCATAACAGTGTTTTACTATATATATCCACATAATAATGATAAAACAAGTTCCTCAATAGGTCCTCAATGTCGTAGTTAACTTAAATAAGTATATTGTGGGTTAACTTGGTTATAAATACCTCTACTAAGTCTTCAGAATTAAATGGAGTATCAGCATGCAACATCCTCTCTGCTGCCTTCAGAGCCAGGTTGATTGTCCACCTAAAATTATAAATGTTAACATCAAATCATTAAATGGAGTATCAGCATGCAACATCCTCTCTGCTGCCTTCAGAGCCAGGTTGATTGTCCACCTAAAATTATAAATGTTAACATAAAATCAATCATCAACAAATAATACTGTTCATTCATTCAATGAGTTGTTTGAATCACTCATTTTTTTATTGATTTCATGGGTATAAATTGACCAGGAATTTCCTGTAGGCTTGTACGCAAAATTTGTTAATCCATGATAATATATTTATTCCTAAATCATAGAAAATTGCTACCCAGAAAAATAAATGAAGCCCTACTATACAATAAATAACTTTTGATGAGGTAAATACAAAGATTTAGTTTTTTTCAACCAAGCAAATTATATCTACTGAGGCCTATGCCTATGTTTCAAGCACTACGCTTCAAAAGTTGTATGAATCAATTATCACATTCAGAATTCTTAAGATTCATGTTTGAAGCTCTAATGTAGTATGTAGAGTGTATCATAATTATATCTTTACACATTTAATGCCAGTACAAATTACAAAATAATGCTTAAACCTACCAAAAAGGTTACTATATATAGAAAAATTTGTAAGGATTCCGCGGAACCCAGTGTCTCGCCTACTTTTGCTGTTAATCGAAGGCTCAACAAAAATGAGGAAAAAAATCAATAAAAATATTCCTTTAGATACTATCTTTTGATTGTAAGAAGCTTCTGTCAAAGTTTGGTATAAATCCAGGATAGTTTATGAATCTAATAAATGTTTTAAAAACTTTAACTGCAGACTGTATTTAAAGTTGTTAAAATTTTAAAAACTTTAACCACAGAGTGAATGTAATGTTAACTGGCAGAAAAACTAAGTCCATTTATAAGTAAAATATGGATAAACAGGTACAAAATTTTAACAAAATTTCCTTCTAGATACTAGCTTTTGATCATAAACAAGCTTCTGTCCAAGTTTGGTACAAATCCAGGATAGTTAAAGAAAGTTATTAAAATTTAAAAAACTTTAACAACAGAGTGAATGTATTGTTTCCTGGCAGAAAAACTAAGTTCATTTATAAGTAAATTACGGAAAAACAGGAATTTTATTTTTACAAAATTTACTTCTGGATACTATCTTATGATCATAAACAAGCTTCTGTCCAAGTTTGGTAGCAATCCAGGATAGTTTAAGAAAGTTATTAAAATTTCAAAAACTTTAACCACAGAGTGAATATTTGTGGACGCCGCCGCCGCCGACGGAATGCAGGATCGCTATGTCTCGCTTTTTCAACTAAAGTCGAAGGCTTGACAATAAATGTACATCAGACAACAACCAAATCCAAATTTTAGGAATTGGTATCAGCACTATGATTGCTGCTATTCATATTGAAAATAGGGTATTGCAAATAAATTGACTATGACAAAAAGGACTCAATCACCAAATCTTTGTGACAATAACAGGGAGCGAGGTGCAGACTGACATATGAGATATATATATACAAACCTATCGTTCAGCAGGAGGTCTGATGTGAAGGTGTTTGGTACAAATGAGTTAACTAATGCACAAAGAACACGACTGTCCACTAAATCATCTACTTTCTGAAAGATTAATATATATTTTATTAAGAATTATCTAACTTGTAACAATTAATGTGGTTTTACACAGGACTGATAATTTATATAAATACAGAAACTTTCATTTTTTAATTGACTTAAATTACCTTCTAGCTAGGTCCTGAAGTAGAAATTGATGTCTTTTGATTATTTGTATTGTTAAGTTGCTGTCTCAATGATATATAACCAACACCTCCTTTTACTCATATTCTCATGTTAAAGTACATGCATGAACTAAAGTACTGTTTCTTTCAAGTCTTTCCTCTTACATGTGTATTCTATGAGACTTGTCATTTCCACTTTTTTCCAAATTACAAAATCTGACATTGTGGTTTTCAAAAAAGTAAGTTTAGACTTTCTCCAACTGATTAATTGATTTTATTCTCTCTGTATGTCAATAAATTTAATTTTTCTGATTCTCTCCTACTCTATTCCTCTCTGTCTTTCTTCTATATATCTATATAGCAGTTTTAGTTTGTTTGTTAATTTTTTTACTATATCCATAAACTGATATTTCAAGATTTAATTTACAGGGAAAATGTACAAGGAATAGCTTCAAATAATATACAGTAAAAACACAAAGCATTTAGACAGAACATTTATTATTGTGCTTCATCTTGAAGGCTACACAAAAGTATTTAATGAAATACAAGACACTTATAATTAAAAGGAAGATTTGTTTGTTTTCAAATTTTATTTATGATATGAAATTTTCTAGTTATTGAGGAAATGATGACAGGATCTGATAATGTCATGCAAAAACAACTCTAGTGTTTCCCACTCTTGATAATTTTTGAAACATTTTAAATCACTTGACAATTCATATGTTTACAACTAAATTTTTTTTAATTGAAAGACATTAATATAAAATGAAGTGCTGCAGTGGATATAAAAACTTTAAAGATAACTTACATAGGCATAAAGGCTTCTACCATCTCTGGTTGTCTGAAATATATAATTTTATACCATACTGCAGGAAACATCACAATGAAAAACCTATGTAATATACACTTGATTAAATATGCTATTTAATATAAACATATAGGAATCAGGAAATCAACAGCAAGTTATCATTATTATCATTTCAATTTCTAATAAAAATTTGTCAGTCAAGTGCAAAAAAGAGACAGTTGTATAGTCCATTTTCTTCTGATTTTCATGTTTCAAAGGAGTAGCTGTGGCAAGGGCCCTATTTTGTACCAAATATTAAGTCCATTACTTCACTTGTGTGTGTCACAATGTGTCATTATGGTAGGATAGTCTACTCATGATGGAAAACAGAAGTAGTAAGTATAAGAGCTTTCTGTCGGATAGTCTCAGAGGAGGAGAATTTACAAGGTGTTATTGTGGTACTATAGTCTACTCATGATGGAAAACAGTAGTAGTAGTAAGTATAAGAGCTTTCTGTCGGATGGTCTCAGAGGAGGAGAATTTACAAGGTGTTATTGTGGTAGTGTAACGAAATGTGGGTCCCCTGAATTGCAACTTGTTTCCCCTAAAATTGTGTGATGACGTTGTTTAAATCTTACCGATAATTGACTTTTCTTGTTATATATTTTTTGTATAACTATGTTTAAACATTGATAACTCTAAAACCTTTTATTATAACACCTGTGCATTGTGTACTTAAAATGACGTCATTACCTATTTTGGTAATCACCAGTTCCGGTTTTGGTAATTTAGGTATTTTCCGAAATGGTAAATGGTAAACCAAAATGGTAAATGGTAAACCAAATCTGTAAATTGGTTTACCTAAGTATAAATACGGCGGAGAATACAGATAAGTCTTCAGCACGATTTTACCCTGGGCAAGTAACACACGTTAATTCCAAGCGATTTTGATATACATACAGATACCATGTACCATACCAAGTAGTAACCAGACAGCCAACACTATCACAATGTCCGAGGAGACGACGTCCGTATAATGTGGGTTTGTTAATTCCTTTACGAGTTACATTTAGAGAATAACTTCTCGAGAGAAACTTTATCTTTTGGCATTGAATTTGATCTACCATTTGCCGATTACCAAACTACAATAAGTAAACTTTCAGGGTATATTTTTCCGCTATTCAATCTCTTTAATTCACGATAGAAGGTTAATAAAGAATTAATCTGTTAGACTAGAATACTGTTAAGTTATCTAATATTTATATGTATTGTTGATATTTAATGCATCTTAAAGTTAATACAAGTTGATTTTTATTAAACGAGTCTGTTATTCTTACAAACATCGAGAGTTACCATACAAAAACCTATACTCCAATCTACCCTTTTATATCCGAGTCATTACCTTACCAGAGGAACCAGCCTTACCAGTATGTATTCAGAATACCAGAGTACCACATAGTACCACGATACCAGAGTACCACGCTACCAAAGAAGGGTCACCAGTTATAACTTTTATTTCTTATATACTCGTACTCAACAAACACATTTTTATAGCAACGCACTAAGGGATAAACATTTATAGTTTAACACTAAGGCCCGACTGCTCGGTTTTCGTTACAGTGGTGGCAGCGGTGGGATGTACCTACATTTCAAGTTATATTCTTTAAATGAGTGTAATTATATTCAAGATAAGGAATAAATAAATATAAATAAAATGGATAGCGCGGAAAATAAATTTGAAACACCTAGGTTAACTGCCCAGGGTAGACCAGTGCTCCCCCGATCTCGGTCCTGTGAAATTTTCCATGATCTGACGCCGACCGGAGAGATAGGCATAAGAGTGAACCAAGATCAATGGCCCTCACAAGAGAAAACTAATAGATACGAAAAGGATGGTATACATCATGCTGACAATAGGCCATTGTCAGGGGATCTATCACCATCAAGGAAAGTGGCCATTGACCAAGCGAAAAACCCGGAAGTTTCAAATAGGGCAACCAACGGTTGTGCATTTGGAAAAAAATGCAGCGCGTACGGTAAAACAGAATTTTGGTGAAGAGTCAAGGACTCTTTTGGACCATGCTGCCAGAGGGTCTAGGTATGGGTTTTGGAGTCAGAAAGCAATGGATACTGCTGAGGGAGACTCCGGGAATACAAGACGAGTCATGACGTCTTGTGAATCCGATGCCCGACGGGGTAGATGGGATTCGGGAGATTTACCTAGGACTTTGGACCGGGGCGTACCCCATAATCAGGGGGCAACGTACCAAGCATTACCTTTGACGTCCCGTGGACGATTCAGAGTTGGGGTTAACGGGACTGACCATGAACACCGTACTGATGAAATGACCAGTAATATAAATTATGATGGCATTAGCAATGAACCAAATTTTGAGCGTGATTATGATATAAACTTACAAAATACAAAATATTCCAAAAAGAAACCAGCACTTTATGATGGGGAGGGTAATTGGGAAGACTATTTAGTTCAGTTTGAATTAATTGCAGCAATTAACAAATGGTCTGACATAGAGAAAGCTTTAGAACTAGCTACTAGCTTAAGAGGTACAGCCCAAAGTATTTTAACCGATTTAAGACCAGAGATGCGAACCAATTTTATACAACTGACAGCCGCCTTAGCGTCTCGTTTTCAACCAGAAAATCAAGCAGAAATGTACAGGGCTCAAATGAAAAGTAAAATACGCGGACGCACGGAACAAATACCTGTGTTAGGCCAAGACATAAAACATCTGGTAAGATTAGCGTATCCATCAGCTCCAATAGAGATTAAAGAACATTTAGCATGCGATTGTTTTATTGATTCCCTAAATGATGTTGACATGGAATGGGCTATTTTCCAGGCCAAAGCAAAAAGTATTAATAACGCTATTCAAGTAGCTCTTGAATATGAAGCATTCCAAAATAGCAGACGTAAACACGGCACGAAGCTAGTTTGTGATGTAAATGAAAATGATAGTTTTGATCTAAATAGGGAAATTTATTTGTCTGAACAAGTTGATGACATTTCAGGTCATCTTGCAAAAATAGAAAATAATAGAAAAAAATAAGAAAACTTTTTCTTGTTACCATTGTTGGGTTTCCGGTCATTTGAAAAGGGAATTTCCCCTATTGAATAACCGATCCCAAAGGTTTGAAGGTAACAGAACTAAAAACTTAATTCCAAGAAAAGTGGCAGACCAAATGACTGGTCGGGGAATCTATTAGTGGCTGAAACTGAGGACCAAGTTTCAGCAGAAACTAAATATGATTTGAAAAATCCAATAATTTTGAGAAATTGAATCAGATAAATATATTCTGAAAATATTTATGTACATGTTGTAATTGTCAGTGTTATGACATGAAATTGAATTGTTTGATTGATACCGGGTCCACCGTTAGTGTCCTAAACTCATCCATGTATAATATCATGTCCAAGAGTGTAACGCCAGTGTTGTCCAATGCACATAGTGGTTTTCGCATGGCTAATGGAAATGTAGTTATGCCGATGGGGACTGCTGTATTACCAACGCAGTCTGATAAAAAAAAATGTGTATCACCGTCTCATTGTTGCAACCATAGATATACCAATGATTATTGAGTTTGATTTTTAAAGATAAAAGTTCATGTATATTGTATATGGGAAAGAGGATTTTTTTTTAAATTGACTGTCAATTTATTTCAACTTTTTATTAATATTGTTTACATTTATTAATTGTTTAGATATGTAACTTGTTTTCAGGACATTCATTTGTACAATAATAATAGTGTTTATGAACATTCGTCTAGCCGAGAAGATTTGATGGTGCAGGATAAACATTCGTCAAAATACACAGAATTAGTTCCGAATAAAGAAAATTCATCATGCGAGGAAGATGTGTTGGTGCTTTATAAACATTCGTCATTATATGCACACAGAAATTAAGTGTGTTTTATGAACATTCGTCCTGCCGAAAAGATTTGATGGTGCTCTATAAACATTCGTCAAAATAAACAGAACTTGTGTTTTATGAACAATCGTTATGAGAAGAAGCGATATTGGTGCTATATGAACATTTACAAGACTAAAGGATCATAAAGAACAGTGTGGAATTCAAGCTTTGCGTGAAGACGTATATGAACAATGAACAGTCCAAAGATTAATTAAATTTGATTAAATATTGTTTTATAATGTTGAATATGTATGTTATAGAATATTTTAATGAATGATATTGCAGACCTTGTTTTAAATTTTAGGAAATGTCTATTCATGTTTGTGGACAAACATTATTTTTCAAAGGTGGGGAGAGTGTAACGAAATGTGGGTCCCCTGAATTGCAACTTGTTTCCCCTAAAATTGTGTGATGACGTTGTTTAAATCTTACCGATAATTGACTTTTCTTGTTATATATTTCTTGTATAACTATGTTTAAAGATTGTTAACTCTAAAACTTTTTATTATTCTTGCCTATGTTTTTACATAGGAACACCTGTGCATTGTGTACTTAAAATGACGTACAATAACATCATTACCTATTTTGGTAATCACCAGTTCCGGTTTTGGTAATTTAGGTATTTTCCGAAATGGTAAATGGTAAACCAAAATGGTAAATGGTTAACCAAATCGGTAAATTGGTTTACCTAAGTATAAATACGGCGGAGAATACAGATAAGTCTTCAGCACGATTTTACCCTGGGCAAGTAACACACGTTAATTCCAAGGGATTTTGATATACGTACAGATACCATGTACCATACCAAGTAGTAACCAGACAGCCAACACTATCACAATGTCCGAGGAGACGACGTCCGTATAATGTGGGTTTGTTAATTCCTTTACGAGTTACATTTAGAGAATAACTTCTCGAGAAAACTTTATCTTTTGGCATTGAATTTGATCTACCATTTGCCGATTACCAAACTACAATAAGTAAACTTTCAGGGTATATTTTTCCGCTATTCAATCTCTTTAATTCACGATAGAAGGTTAATAAAGAATTAATCTGTTAGACTAGAATACTGTTAAGTTATCTAATATTTATATGTATTGTTGATATTTAATGCATCTTAAAGTTAAT